AACCGCTGTTGCTCAGAGCTCAAACTCTTGAGCGAGCTCTTAACCAACTGAGCCACTTGGCCGGCCCCCTCCTCCAGTTTAGATAAGGAGTGACCTGGCTGGAGACGGCAGGTGTAGGTCGGTGCCTGTCCTTGAGGCCCTCAGCAAGCACGGGACTGCTCTTCTCTCTGCCTCCATGAGGGGAGGCTGTGGCTTTCCAGACCTGATGGCTGCTGAGTGGGTAAGCCTGACCCCAGGGTCCAATATCAGGACGCCCACTAGCCTGCAGATATCAGCTACACCCTCCAACACCAGCTCTACCAACAATGTTTTTCAACATGATTAGATGGGGGGGTGTCAAGCGGTGCTATTTATTCCTCGCCCTCAGACCTCCACCCTCCTCAGAAGCAAGTCCTGCTCTTATTGGTCCCTGTAAGCACCATGTGACAGACAGGTGCGTAGTGATTGCTTGTTGCATTGAATACAATGGAGGTGGCATCACTTACCCCCTCGGTGGAAGGGCGTGAACTCGACAGTGATCCCCAAGGTGTCTTTCAATGTCAGCCCACCCACCCGGGTGCCTTCGTCTGTCTCAGGGATAAATTATAAATGCTTTGACTTTCAATCTCATAGAACTCTTTTTCAGGATTCAACATTGTCAAAGTCATCCTTACCAGATCGCTATACACGAATAAAACCCCAGGAGGATTCCATTTTGGAACTTGAGGATTCTGTTGTCTTCATTTTGGAGGATGAATTCCAAACATTCTTCAAACGTCCTATACACAAAGCCTAAAACAGAGAGAAATGGGGGAGCCGAGCTGGGGGTGGGGGTGGTCCTCTTTCCCAGGAGAAGCTCCCACTGTGGGGAGGGGCCTCCTTTCTGATTCCTTGGTGAGCCCAGGGTGTCCTGGGTGTTGCCACAACCACATGACTGCACTGCCCGGGTTGCCCGGGGCCCGGCCTTTGTGGATGTGTGCGCATACAGGACCAATTCCATAGTGCCGACCAGGCAGGACTGGGGTTTCAGCCAGCCCTCCCAGCTCAAGCCCAAGGAGCTGGCCTTAGCACAGCCTGGGACTTCTCCGTCTCCTCACCTGTGCTTCCCTGTGGGCAGCAATATTTGCATTCCCCTTTCAAAATCACGTGTGGGAAAAGAACGCCCAGGCTGGCCCCTCTGGTTTAACCTGTAACCTGAAGTTTATCAGGTTTTGGTTCCCAAGTCACCAACAGCTACCAGTGCCCAGAACTCTCACCATTAGCAACCCAGTCCTTCATCCTAAAGCATGAGGTCACTAAGTCTATCCTGCTAAAAAAGCAAATACCTTAATACGGACAAGACACATAGTGAGACAGTGCCAGTCGCATGTGTGTAAGTTGATCTGACATTTTAACTGGCAGCTTAGGGCCAACAGGTTCCCCCGGACTGAATTCCCCTCCTTGCTGGCCTCTTACAGTCCTTGCACCCTCCAGACGACCCCTTGGCTCAGAGCAGCAGGGCCCCCCCTTCTCTGTCTTTCCAGCCAGAAACCTCGTGATCTCAGAAGCCCCAACCCTTTCAGCTGCCACACCACACCACCACGAGTGTCACAGCCCCACTCTCTTGTAAATTCCACAGCCACACTTACCAGAATAAAGCATGATGTCCAGGCAGTCTAAATAGAAATAGGCCTTGCTGAAGATGTGCTCTTCTGCTATAGAAAGGTCCCACAGCCACCCCAGCGTCTGGATCAACTTCTTGTGTCTGTGGCAAAGAAAAGGCAGTAGGGCTCAAAAGGGGTGGGAGGAGAGGGTCAAGTTCAGCTCTGGTGCGGTCTCGGTCCTGCCTGGTAGTTCATGACCAAACGCAACGCTTAAAAAGACTTCAAACCCACTCCGGTATCTTCCTCTCACTGGCTCTTTGTTCAAACTGCTTTCGTGGATCGCCAGGTCAAGGTGACCAGGGCCAGGCCCCTTTGGGCCTCTCGTCCTGCCTGCTGGTCTGTGGGCACTGCCCCCTCCACGAGGCTTTTCCGTCCCCTCCCCCTGGCCGAGTGGAGGCCTGATTCCAGGGATGGCTGGCCGCCTCTCCTGCAGTCACTGGCCAGAGCAGCCAGATTAGAGAGCCTGCATGTGGGAGAATTCTGGGAAAGGGCAGTGGAGTCAGTCACACCCTGTTCCTGTAAACCCTCCTGCCTTTCCTACCCTATGGCATAGCCCGGGTGAAGGGAGCCCAGAACACTCCATCACTGTGGCTTCCTCCCCCTACTTTTGGAAAATGCTTGAAGATTACATACCTGTTTTTTAGGAAGAGAGATTTGCTATACCAGCAGAGGACCCTGCATTGTTTGTTGGGGTTCTGAAGCAGCCTCCACATATTCTGGGCTCGAGAGCCTGAGAAGAAAACAATCCCAGTGTATTTCTGGGCATCCCTGGTATCTGCTTGCTCCCCTCCGGCCCAGCCAGCCCTTACCTAAGTCAATGGCCAAGTCCAAGTAACCCATCATGAGCTTGATGTAGCCCAGTGTATCGGCCACGTGCGTCACAATCTCAATGCCCTCGCCTCTCAGGGGGAGGTTGATGATCTGCTCTATGACCATGACTTCATACTTGAACCACGTGCCCTGGTAGCCGGCCAGCTGGTGGTACACCGAATAGTCCAGGTAGGCCTTGATAATCTGAAAAGGCAGTGGTGAGGCAGCGGAGGGGCGAGGCTGAGACAGGACCCCAAGCAGAGAGCCTGGGGACATAGCCCTGTGTCTCCCAGTGCGCACACGTTAAGTACGCAGGCGATTGGCCAAGCCATGGGCTTAGGGACAGAAATTAAATTGGGTTTCTGCCACCTGTTTACCGCATCACCGAGGACAAGCTTGATGGCCCCTCTTGCCCACAGAGTCCTTAGACAAAATATAAGAATTTTAGTTTTTGTGAAAAATAAAAGCAATTGCTTATATATGCGGATATGTGATTGCATATAGCAAAAGGCTTGGAAGGAATCACTCCCAAGTGTAAACAGTCAGGAAGGCTGAATTGCTTTTTTTAGAGCATGTTTCAACTAATGCTGCCGGGGAGGAAGGGTAGCCAGGAATGGACCAAAGAGGGTTGCTGGGCAAACAGAAAATCTGTAGCTGCAAGAAAGCCCAGGACTGCCTGGACTGGGACCAAGAGAACCGAGTCCAGCTTCATGGGGAAAACTGGAGCCCAAAGGTTATGTGGGTTGCCAGTGGTCACACTGGTGGCAGGTCGGTGGGGTCCTGGGAACCAGCCTCTTGTGTTCATTGTGGTTCTTCCTATCCTCCTGTGCTGAGTGCCTCATCTGCGTTTGAATGCTTAGGGGAGCGCTTTCCCAGCTGTCCTGCCCTCTGTCACAGCTGCCTTGTCAACAAGTATCTTTTGGTTCACTTTCTAATTTTGACTTTTCCATCATCCCTTCCCTTGCCCCCCAACCCTACCACAGTTTTAGGAGATAGCCCCAAGTACGGAGGAGAAGGAAAGCATTTCATACAAGCAATATTTGTTGAGCACCTACTATGTGACAGACACTGTTCTAGGAGCTCAGGCTGTGATCAAGGCAACAGACGAGGTCCCTGCTCTCACGGAGTTTACAGGCTGGTAGGGGACACGGGCCACACACCAACAGAGGAGCAAGAAAGAAAACGTCAGATGGGCGATCAGAGCTACTAAAATAGGGTGACAGGCTAGAGAGCAGATGGGTTAGGTAGTCAAGAAAGGCACCACTGAGGAGGTGACCTTCAAGCTGATAAGCAGAGAGTGCAGTCAAGGCCAAGGATAAGCACTGCAGGCAGAGGAAACATCTAGTGCAAAGACCCTAAGGTGGGATTGAATTTAGATGTTTGAGGAACCAAAAGAGGAGAGGAGGATGGGATATAGGCCGCGGCCCAAGGTGATGGGCCTTATAAATCCTGGTCTTATGGGTCCTGGTCTACCGGAAGGACAATGGCAGGGACAGACTCCTGGCTAGGAATTTAAGCTCCTCCAACATTTACGGTGCTGCTCGACCATTTCCCTTAGTTCTTGGTAATTAATGACCCCAAGAGGAAATGGTTGTACCAGGAGAAATCCAGACTCGATGTGCTTTTATAAAAGAACCAGGTCACTGTCATTAGCTGAGTTGGATTCAGCTTAATACTTTCGTGATCTTGTCTCCTAGAGTTTTCCTCATCGAAGACTCGTGTGATTAGATCCTCGTGATTTTGAATCCCGATTCACTTTCTCTAGGCTTCTCCCTCCAGGTGAGATACAGGAGTTTAAAAAAGCAGCTACCGAAATACCCTACCTGGAAATTATCTTGCGTTTCCAGTGCAGTGTTCACTTGCATCATGGCTGCCAGGTGGGTGTAATGCTTGTGATGAAAAAAATCAATTAAGGTATAGATCTTCCAGAGCAAGGAGAAACAGGTGTTTTGCTGGTAAAGTTGCGCCAGCCTCTTCTTCCTGTTGGGTGAAGCACACACACGGGACACGGAAGGTACCATCAGCAGCACACCTGTGGGGGGAGGTGACGGTACAGGTGTACAGTCCTGACCACAGGTTTGGGGCTGAAGCAGACTTGGGCTCGAGGCCTGCCCCCTTTACCAACAAGGCCATCACGTCTCATGAAACACATTTTCTCGTCTGCAGAATGGGGACCATAGTACCTCCTTTGTGAGGATTGACTAAAATAAGCTATGTAAATCACCTGTCAGGTCATTGCTATTTACATGAAGCTACTTAAAAAAGCACATTTATGTCACTCAGTCACATTTGATTCTGCTGACAACTCTGCAAGAAAGGAAGGAAGAATGAACCCCATTTTATGTAAGCAGAAGGTGAGGCCCCGACAGGCTAAGTAATGAACTCCAAGTCACACAGTTAGAATGTGGCGGCGCCCGCCTGGCCCATCCGGTGTGTCGTTCCCTCCATTGCACGTTGCTATCAGGGGCTAAGTCTCAGCTCAATGAAGGAACTGCGCATTTTTCACCTCATGTTCTGCTGTGGTCGGCATGCATCCCCCAAATTCATATGCTGAATCCTAAACCGCAGAAGTGATGATATTAGCAGGCGAGGCCTTTGGGGGGTGATTAGCTCATCAGGGTGGGGCCCCTCAGGAGCGGGATTGGTGCCCTTGTAAAAGCGATCCCGCAGAGCTCCCCGGTTCCTTCCACCATGTCAGGACACAGCGAGAAGTCTGTGACCCTAAAAGGGCCCTCGCCCGAGCGCGCCGGCAGCCTTGGGGCCTGAGGGTTGGCGTCTGTGAAGGTCTGTGTCCTCCGGGGAGGAAGACAAGACGCCAAGCTCTCCCCAACCCCTCCCCTTACCCTGGAGGTGAGCTCGCTTGGGCCCACTGATCCATATAACTGGAGAGTCTGTTTTTCTCAATGTGGGTCTGGAGAAACAGGGAGACGAAGTTGCAAGGAAACACATGGTTGAGGAGCTTCAGCGCCTTCCTCAGCATTTTCTTGGCAAGCAGCATCTGGCCCATGTTGAAATAGACCTGCAGGGAAAGGGGGCGGGGCAAGGATTCCGGGCCTGGTCGGGAGGTTCCAACAATAGATATTTTGGGGATTCTCTTTTTTTTTTTTTAAAAAAGGTAATTGATGGCCCAGGGGCCCTCACCCCCACCCCCCAGTGCCTGGCATCATGGTACATGGTTCTGGGATGTATGTGTGGAAAGGTGGTTGAATGACTAGGATTTAGCATCTCTGTTGTGCATCGCCTGCCTCTGAGGGAATGTTTATCCATTCACGTCCATTTGTGGAGGTTGTTGGAAAAGTATTTCATAAAGATATCACGACAAGGAAGGTCTTGCTGCTAGCAAGTGATGGGGACGGGGTTTGAGCCCCAGCGCTTGGGGTTCTGGAGGCTTGGAAAGGATCTGTTGTGGGGCTGGGAGGAGGGTACAGAAAGTATAGGGATGACAGCTCCTTCTTCTAGGTGAAGCCCCAAGGACAAATCACAGATTAATCGTGTTTTTAACGGTTTCTTACCTGACCTTTGAGGCTATAAAAGGTGGCTGACTCAAACGTGTGATTCCAAGATTTTTCCTTCCTGAGAATTTTCAGCAACCTCCCTCCCTCATTCAAGTATACGTAGGCCTGCAAAGCATTGAAAAGGGTGTCCGCAGGGACCCAGGCCTCAGAGGGGCCGTTGCTCAGACTCCACTGAAGGAAGAGACCCAGGAGCCACCCTAGGTCCCACTCCACCCTGACCCCTGCTCCTGACTAGAAAGGACCTTCAAACTCTAGACAGGGACTGGAAGGCGGAAGCTCCCGCTGAAGACACAGGCCACCCTCATGTGCACGTTTGTCCCCTGAATCACTCATTCTAGAGGATGAATCTAGAAATCTCCCCCTTTGCTCATGCTGTCACATCAGTCGCCTTACCTGAAATCCCCCCCCCCGGGGCAGTTTCCTCCTTTGAGTGATCCCACCTCCAACCCTCCTTATTTTCAGCACTGTACTCAGGGCCCCGATGCAGCCCCACCTCTACGGGACGCTGGTCCCTACTGTGGGAAGGGGTGATGAGCCTCCCCCAGCTCCTTGGCCTGGGCCGTCTTTGGGGGGTGGGAAAGGAAGGGGAGGCCCCGAGCAGCTCTCCTCACTTCATCTTCAACCTCTAATGACGTTGTTAGACAGGAAGACCTTGGCACATGTGAACACCAAGGCAAGGTCAGACTTCAAGAGTAAAATAAGAGGGAGCGACACCCCCACGTCTCACGGGCAGGCTAAGGGGCGTGAGCTGGAGGCAGGAGGACGCACGTCCGTCAGGTTTTCTTTGACGGGGAGGGGGTGCAAATGGCGCCCCTGGGACCTTGCTCTGGGGCTCGGCCTCCCCTCATTCTTTCCTGGCTCTGCAAGGAGTCAAACAGGTGTGCGCACAGGGTTAGCGAGTTGCCCCCAGGGGTCCCCGAGCCTTCTCTTCCTGGGACCCACTGGCCGTATCCCCATGTGTGTGTATAAAATTTGGCTAGGCGACTTTCATTCTTACCAGAAATGCTTGAGAGAGCTGGGGCTTACCGACATTTTTAATGGTTTAATTTTTAAATTTTATGTAAATCTAAGATATGAGGGTTGATTAGGCTGCTGTGACCGACAGCACCTGTACAATACAGAGCAGACTCCCCGTGGGCGTAAAGGACTGCGGGTATGGCCCCTTGGGTGTGTGGAGTCAGGGGAAGCCGGGCCCAGGAGGGCATTTCCTCGAGTGAATTCATGGAAGGTTAGTCCAGGCAGCTGTTCCAGGAAAAGGGACCTAAGGTCACAGAAGCTTGAGAAAGAG